AAAAAAAATATATATATATATATATCAATCCAATCCTATTGAAAGTCCTCCTACTGAAAGCCTTCCAGAGGGATCCTATTAAACAATTACCCCAGCTCCTTACCCCAACCAATGCAGCCCTCAGGTCTCTGACACCCCCTCACCCATACTCCCCTCACTTTGCAGAACCAGTGACACGAGCCTCCTTCCAGTTCTCCAGACTGGAAGTTCATTGCTGCTTTGGGCTTGCGCCGTTCTCCTGGCTAGAACACTCTTTCCCCAGCTACTTCCGTGGCCCGCTTCTTTCACCTCTGGTCTCAGCTGAGATGTCGGTCCCTTCCTTCAGGAGGCCTTCTCTGATCACTCCCACTGAAGCTGCTTCCTCTCTCCTGCATCACCTTCATTAAGGTCCTTGCCAGCATCTACCACGATCTGAAATTATCTCATTGAATTAGCGTTCTGTTGCCGGTTTACCTGGCTAGGATGTAGCTCCACGAAGGCAGAGACCATGTGGATCTTCTCACCTTTGTGGATATGATGTAGTTACAAGGATGCTAGGAGGTGCCCAAAAAAAATTGGTTGGATGAATTAATAGACACATCCCTCTGTGGCCCTTTGTGTGCTCCAGAAACCATCGCCCTCACCACCAATTTAACTCTGACCTCCCTGCTACGGTGTATGAAAACGCATCTGAAGTACCTATGGCAAGGGCTCAGCCAGTGCTCTCGTTATTAATATTAATTATTGAACAAGAGCCAGGCAGCCTGAAATGGTGACTAATGATGTTATCCCTGCACGGCTCCCAGCACCTGCACTGGTCCCATGGCACATTCACTCACTTATTCACAGGGCTGAGAGGGCAGGACGTGGTGTGATTGGAGGGAAAACCCTCCGCCCTTGGCGGGAAGAGTGGGTGCCTGTGTGGTGCCGGGAGCCGGGCCTGGCTGTGTTGACTTTGCACACACAGTGGGCCATCAGCCATCGGTGGAGGCTCGCAGTTTAATCACGTGTTTCCTCATTCATCTTCAGTGCTATCTGAGGGTTTATCTTTTCCTCCCCATGGCGTGGTTGTGATTGATGATCCCACGCCGGCTCCACCGCCACCGGCTCCACCACAGGGTTAGCACAGCTCACCGCAGGTGCCCAACCCCTCCTGGTTCCTTGCTGTCTGTGGCCGGCTGGGGCTGACATCATGCTTCTCTTAAGCAGCTCTGTTATGTAATGAATTGTGTGTCCTCCCCAACCCTGGATTCATATGCTGAGATCCTTTATGTCACTGTGTTTGGAGACAGGGCCATTAAGGAGGTAATTAGGGTTAGGGGGTAAATATGGGTAGGGCCGTCATTGGATAGAATCTGTGTCCTCGTAAGAAAAGCAAGAGACATCAGAATGCAAGCTCTCTGCACCAGCACAGAGGACAGGCCATGTGAGGACACAGCAAGGAGGCAGCCATCTGCCAGCCGGGAAGAGAATCCTCACCAGAGAATTCTCTTTTCTGGTACCTTGATCTTGAACGTCCAGCCACCAGGATGGTGAGAAAATGCATTTGTTATTTAGCCACCCATTCTGCGGGATTTGTTATGAGAGTCTTAGCAAACGAACACGAGCTTGGGAGAGGAAAGGGATGGGATTTGCAAAGGTATCTTCAAGTGGAAGTGTTTTCTTGGACAAATGGCAGAAATGACCCTCAGCAGAGGCGGTGTCTCCCCTGGAGAGGCAGCATTTAGTGGTGGTGGCCACACTGGGGGACAGCAGGCCTGGGCTCCAATCCACTTCTGTGGGGCGGCAGGTCACTTGCCCTGGAGATTCAGTCCCTGTGCAGAGTCCACATGCTGTTTCTACATCACCAGAGAGGAGGGTGAGGTTGAAATGAGGGAATCTACGGTCATTCAACAGTGGTATCAAGTGCCTACCTGTACCCAGCACTGGGCTAGGCTGGGGCCAGAGTCATGAACAAAATCGGGATGGTCCCAGCCCTCATGGCACTCACAGATGAGCAAGGAGAGACATGCTAACTTAAAAACAAAAAGATTTCATGTTGGGATAAGATTCGACTGAGAAATAAAACAGACAGAGAGGAGAGAGGGCGTGGGGAAGGTGGGTGGATCTTTGTTTTCTGGGGTGAGGGAAGAGTGTGAGATTGTGTGCCCCAGAAGCAGGCTCTGAGCCTGGAACTGGAGGGCAAGTGGCTCACTTGGGAGGTGATCCCAGGAAGGCCCAGTGAGGAGCAGAGAGGTAAGATGTGAGGGGAGGAGCCAACGAAGGTGTGCTAACCAGATTACAGCAGCGGCCAGCTGTGGCTCAGTGCTGTGGGGGATTTCTGGGAAACTGCATAGAGTATATGCCTTCTACTGCCTCTGACAGGTGCCAGCTGAGGAGTAAAGAAGATTATTATCCACCATCTCCCGCCTGTTACTGGCTGATGGCTACTCCCAGGGGTGTCTGCCCCTGGAACGTCTAGCCTGTCCCCCGGATAGGTTGATAAGACGCCACCCCCTGCCACCCCATGCCAGAGGAAGACCCTGTGCAGAGTCCCATGTGCTGACAACAGAAAGCCA